AAAAACCCAAGCCTGAAAAGGCGAGATTTTTCTTACTATTTAAGGTAAAGTCGTAATTTTTTATATGTTAATAGATGAAAACAAAAATAGATTAGATATGAATAAATAATTGATTGAAAATTTTTAAAAAATTTAACTAATAGATTTAGATCAATCATTGATATTACATTATCGAAATTTAAAATAAAAGTCTCGGCACAGGTAAAAAAAAATAGAAAAAATAAAGTAAAAATGAGTGTAAATTTTTTTCTGTATTTGGTGGCATTTTTTATGGAAACAGTACTATTCAAAATAAATACAAACGTTGTACTCTTTTAGCCGTGTACATGCAAGAATAAAGTCAATTTGATCATACTAAAGTATTAAATAAATTTCAAATTTAATATAAAAAATAAAATGAATTCTTCTAGATTAAAATCTTTTAATTGTACAAATCACCAATATATTACATATTAAACTAATAAAGATGACTCACAATAAAATTAAAAAATTCTATATTTTAACAAGTCAGTTTTATACATATTACTACTATTACATTTTTAAAACGAAAGTTTTCTCCTTAGTTTATAGTACTTTAGTTAATTTCTTTAAGATTTAGAACTTTTTTTTTAAAATTAAAAAAAAAAAAATCTTTCAACCAACTGCATTCATGCTATGTTTTTTTAATGAAAGAATTAATAGAAAAAAAAAACAATAAGAGCTATCATTCTATAAACATGATGACATATATATATTCATACCATAAAGAACCTTACACTATTCACATGAAAAACAAATAAATTCAACTAATTTGTATCTAAAATATAAAAAATAGGCTATCAAAAACAAAATATTTACATATAAATATAAAAATTTAAGTTTTGATTTTATATGCTCAACATGAGTGTTAAATATAAAAGATGATTACTTTATTATTTTATATGTAAGAAATTGGTAAAATTAATCAGTTAGCATTGAATTTTATATGCAATCAAAATATTTATTTATTTGGTCATAAAAAATATATTGAATTTTAAACGTAATCAAAATATTTATTTATTTAGTCATATAAAGAAATATTTTTTAGTATACGAAAAACTAATTTTCTTTAAATATTTAATTTAAATGTATAAAGAATCAATAAGAACCCAACAAATTTTGTAATATTTTAATCAATGGTTTTTATGGAACATAAATTAATCAATATATGGTATAAAGTGGACAAATTTACTTGGTTTAGTTGATGACTTATTATTATTATTATTATTATTATTATTATTATTATTATTATTATTATTATTATTATTATTATTTTGGTAGGAAATTTGTTGGGATTAGTCAAT